GAACAGACACAGACATAGACATAGACACGGACATAGATTTAGACATAGACATAGACACAGGCACAGACACAGACATAGACATAGATATAGACATAAACATAGACACAGGCACAGACAGACACAGACATAGATTTAGACATAGACATAGACACAGACATAGACATAGACATAGATATAGACATAGACACAGACATAGATTTAGACATAGACATAGATATAGACATAGACACAGGCACAGATACAGACATAGACATAGATATAGACATAGACACAGACATAGACATAGACATAGACATAGACATAGATATAGACATAAACATAGACACAGGCACAGATACAGACATAGACATAGATATAGACATAGACACAGGCACAGATACAGACATAGACATAGACATAGACACAGGCACAGACACAGACATAGACATAGACATAGACACAGACATAGATTTAGACATAGACATAGACACAGACATAGACATAGACATAGACACAGGCACAGACACAGACATAGATTTAGACATAGACATAGATATAGACATAGACACAGACATAGATTTAGACATAGACATAGATATAGACATAGACACAGACATAGATTTAGACATAGACATAGACACAGACATAGATTTAGACATAGACATAGATATAGACATAGACACAGACATAGATTTAGACATAGACATAGACACAGACATAGACATAGACACAGACATAGATTTAGACATAGACATAGATATAGACATAGACACAGACATAGATTTAGACATAGACATAGATATAGACATAGACACAGACATAGATTTAGACATAGACATAGATATAGACATAGACACAGACATAGATTTAGACATAGACATAGATATAGACATAGACACAGACATAGATTTAGACATAGACATAGATATAGACATAAACATAGACACAGGCACAGATACAGACATAGACATAGATATAGACATAGACACAGACATAGATTTAGACATAGACATAGATATAGACATAGACACAGACATAGATTTAGACATAGACATAGATATAGACATAGACACAGACATAGATTTAGACATAGACATAGACATAGATATAGACATAAACATAGACACAGGCACAGACACAGACATAGATTTAGACATAGACATAGGCATAGACACAGGTATAGACATAGACACAGACACAGACATAGACATAGACACAGACATAGACAGAGATATAGACATAGACACAGACATAGATTTAGACATAGACATAGACATAGATATAGACATAGACACAGACATAGACATAGATATAGACATAGACACAGGCACAGATACAGACATAGACATAGACATAGACATAGACATAGATATAGACATAGACACAGACATAGATATAGACAAAGACATAGACAAAGACACAGACACAAACATAGACATAGACATAGACACAGGCACAGATACAGACATAGACATAGACATAGATATAGACATAGACACAGACATAGACATAGATATAGACATAAACATAGACACAGGCACAGACACAGACATAGATTTAGACATAGACATAGACATAGACACAGGCACAGACAGACACAGACATATATATATATATATATATATATATATATATATATATATATATATATATATATATATATATGTGTGTGTGTGTGTGTGTGTGTGTGTGTGTGTGTGTGTGTGTGTGTGTGTGTGTGTGTGTGTGTGTGTGTGTGTGTGTGTGTGTACAAATAAACACAGATACCCACATGCACACGACCGCACATGATCACGTAAAAAATAAACACATACCAGAGCATGTGACGCCTTTTATTTTTTTTCTTCTTCTTCTTTTTCTTATTCTTTCTTTCTTTCTTTCTTTTTTATGTGTTTCTACTCTTCCTCCCCAAATTTCAGCCATCGAAGTCTGGCTCGCGGTTCCTCTGCAGTCTTACATAAACACGACATGCGTTCCTCCCCCGCTACTAAGCCTGATCTGGCTCTCTCCTCTGCTGGGAGTTAATTTAAGCCCCAACACAATTGGCAACCTGCGCCCGCCGCTTCGGAAATGAGGGGAAACTGGAAGACTGGGAGAAGGAATGCTGACCGTACAAAGACTGTGTACGTTGGCCGTGACTGTTGACTGTGAGTGTGGCAACGAGTGGGATTGTAGCGCTGTGGCTGTCCCCTAGCGACGTTATTTATCTGCAATGCCTTTATTTTCTTCCTAGAGCAGTTGTTCCCAACCGTTTCTATTTTGTGGTTCCCGCTCGGTATACAATAATCTCCATGTACCTATTCACTGTCGGTCATCTTTTCAGATTCTATTATCACTGATAATGAATAGCGCAATAGGGACCGTAAACGAGACAAAATCCAGTATAATTCGAAGTCAATTTTTATATTGCTCCTTGGTTGGGATACCCTGTTCTATAGACTCCTCATTCATCAAAGTCTACGGATGGATGCAGCCATATTTCAACGTATAAGAGGTGGAGCACTTACTGAGGACTTTGCATTTTGTGCAAGTTAATCTCTGTGGTTGTTTAACATGCGACCTTGAGATGTGGTTTTATAAAATTGGGAGTTTCGAGTCATTTTCCATTTTATAGGGAAACTTATAACAGGGTAACAGGTAACGGGGAGTTACAGTGATATTCGAGAGACACAAAAGCATAATTTATTTTGCATTATTACCAATATTTTATTTTATCTGTCGTGACTTCTTTGGCTCTTATTAATCGTTATAGTGATATAAATAATAGATAACAATGTAGAAAATAAATGGCTAACAGAGAATAATAAAATGATAATCAGAAGGAGCAGAAGTAGCGGTGATGGTAGTGGTTATAATAAAAGTAGTAGACTTAATGGTAGAAGTAGTAGTGATTATTGCACTACCACTAATACAAGCAGGCGTAGTATTTATAGCAATACCAATAGTAGTGATAGTAGATTTTGTATTGGTAGTAACAGTAAAATACGAGTTGTGGTGGCATTGCAGCTGCCTCCAAAGTCAATGCGTTTGGGTGATAAAGAAATACAACAAACACAAAGGTTTATCTTGACTGCTGGCATTTCCTGCGTTGTAACAGAATGTTGCTACTGCGGGCCTTACATGAAAATGAAATAAACAAACAGCAGGTGTGAAAATGAGCATAAAAAAAAGAGAGAGAAAGAGAGAGAAAGAGAGAGAGAGAGAGAGAAAGAGAGAGAGAGAGAGAGAGAGAAGAGAGAGAGAGAGAGAGAGAGAGAGAGAGAGAGAGAGAGAGAGAGAGAGAGAGAGAGAGAGAGAGAGAGAGAGAGAGAGAGAGAGAGAGTAAATAAATCTACAAATAAACCATAAAACAAATAAATCATTAAACAAATCACCACCATTAAAGCCACCGGCAACAGCAGATATATCGTTAACAACAGTCGCTGCACCAGAATACCAGGAACACTAAGAACACCATCGATTATCACCAAGCAGTTAATACAGAACCAACTAAATATACGCTAAAAACCACGCCCGCACACCATGTCGCCGGGGGGGTACCAATGTTCCAACGTGTACAGACGAAGGGGGTACATTTTTAACGAGCAAGACAGCGGAATCACCTTTGGGTATATGAAGGTAGAAGGAAGCATGTTCGAAAGAGAGGTTGTGGGGGCCAGCTGAGTCACTGGGGATGTGCCAGCGTGATCGGCTCAAACCTTATGTCTGTCTTCCCTTCCTTTCTTTCACCTTTTCACACTCGCGAGGAAGCTTTGTTTGGCACGAAATGGGATTTTTTTTTTTGCATGGGCGACGGAATGTGAGACGGATGGGGTATATGTCTAGAAAAAAAGGGTGAGTGAATGACGGTTCTTGACGTGCTGTGTTTATAGAGCATGTGAGCATGTGTGTGTATGTGTGTGTGTGTGTAGGTGTGGGTGTGGGTGAGGGTGAGGATGAGGGTGTGGGGGAGGGGGAGGGGAGAGGGGAGGGGGGGATGAAGGTGAGAGTGAGAGTGAGAGTGAGGGGGAGGGGAGGGGGAGGGGGTGGGTGTAGGTCTTTGTCTGTATGTGAGTGTTTGTCTGTGTACCTGTTCCCAAGAGTATATTTCTAAGCGAATCCGCGCCACAAATTATGAGAAACAGATGCATAAAGGTGGACTGAAAAAAGACATTATGCTCGTGCAATAAATCAACGGGTTAAGTTGTGTCTAAATGTTGATCAAAAAGGAAAGATTTATGCGCACTTGGACTTCAAAGATGATGCATTTGGAATTTTGCAGTAAAGAGAGTCATTAATTAATTTTTTGAGTTACTCTTTAGTCTTTTGTTCTGTGTAACTATGCGGAAACAATACATTTTGTATAAAATCGTCACTTGGCTCATCCTTTGATATCAAGTCAAATGTCAAAATGATTAGATTTTTTCGAATAAAGTACGAACTTTAAACAACAGAGACAAAATATATGATGAAAAAGATACTCACAGACACACATACATCCATAACACATATTCTATCGCTTTGGATTTTGTCTCTTAATGAAGTGATCATTAATTGCTATGTATCTGTATTTCAGGTATTTTTCATTACCTCAGTTCATATTCACTGAAAAATGATCCTTACATTTCCGAAAAATAAATAAATAATTGGATACATGATAAGAGAGGAATATATGACCAGATTTTAAAATCATTTGATAAGCCAATTAAACACAATGAACACAAAAACGACGAGTATATTACAACAAAAACAATAACAAATAAATAAATAATTGGATATACAAATAAATAAATAAATAAATAGATATACAAATAAATAAATAAATAAATAGATATACAAATAAATTAATAACTAAATAAACATACAAATAAATAAAAATGAAATGAAATAAAACCTTATATTCCAACACAACACGAGATCACGTTATACCCTTAATGGAAAACGAATCACCCCGTCCCTAGCACCAGATATTCAAATAAATTAATAACTAAATAAACATACAAATAAATAAAAATGAAATGAAATAAAACCTTAGCTTCCAA